TATAAGCAGTCCCAAGGAATAAAAGAACAGAAATGGAGGTATCATGCTCCCTGACTTCAAACTACACTACAAATTGATAGTAACCAAGAAAGCATTTTATTGGAATAAACATAAACACACAGAACAATGGAACAGAATTCGGATCCCAGAAATAAACACACACAAATGACAAAGGGGCCAAGAACATCCAATGGAGAAAAGAAACACTATTTTGTGATTGATGTTCAGAAAACTGGACAGCCACTTGCAAAAGTATAAAACTAATATGCTAACACCACACATACACAGTAATTCAAAATTAAATTAATGAATTGGACATAAGCAATGAAGCAAAAAACTCATAGAAGTAACAAAAGTGATGTGTATCTTAACATTGGCCTTAAACATGTCTTCAGGGACTCAACTCCAATTGTAAGAGAAGCAAAAGCAAAAATAAATGGGGCAACATCAAATTCAAAAGTTTCTACACAGTGAAAGAAACTCCCTATAAATGAAAAGACATCTTATGAATAGAAGGAAACTGCCTACCCATCAGGAGTGGTCCACCTCTTCTTAGGTCTCTGCCCTTGTGTCTGGGAGCACTTGAGAACGAACTCAGAGATGCAGAGTGGAGAAGTGAGTGTCAAGTGGCAAGTTGATGGTGTTTAGAGGAAATGGCTGTGACTATTAAAGGGTGTCATGAGGGAGATCTCTGCAATAATGGAGTGGCTCCTACTTGACCATGGTTGGTTACATAAAACTACTTTTTAATGAAACAGACACAGCTATACTCATATTGTACCTGATTTTGTTATTACACTATAATTTCTGAAGACAAAACCATTTGGGGAAACTTGGCTAAGGGGTACATAGAATCTCTCTCTACCATCTTTGAAACTTCCTATTAATTTATAATTATTTTGAAATAAAAAGCTGACTTTTCTCACTAAAATTCAAAGTACTCATAACACTAAATGTTAGCAATATAGTACAGCAGGGACTCTCCTTCATTGCTGGTCGTAATACAAAATGGTACAGTCACTTTTAAAGTCACTCTGGTGGTTTCTTACAAAGTTAAACATGCCTTTATGATCCAAGTACTTAAATGAGGTGAAAGCTAATGTTCATACACAAACTTGACCATAGAAGTTTATAGCCACTTTATTCATAATTGCACCAATCTGGAAACAAACAAGCTATCTTTCAATTGGTGACTGGAAAAACTGTGTATATTTCTACACTGAAGACTGTTCAGTGATAGGAACAAATAGACTATTAAACTGTGAAAGGATATGGAAGAGCTAAGGATAACCTATAGCATGTATAAGTTTCATACTGTTTGATTTCAACTCTATGGTATTCTGGAAAAGGCAAACCTATAGAGACAGTAAAAAGACCACTGGTTGCCAGGGGTTCAGGAAGAGCAGAAGAGAAATGAATAGGTGAGCACAGGGAACTTTTAGGTCAGTGAGTTACTCTGTATGATACTGTAATGCTAGACGGCATTTATGCAACTGTCAAAACTCACAGAACTGTATAGTAGATTATGGAAATTGGTTAATAATAATGATTCAGTATTGGTTAATTAATTATAATAAATGCCCACATGATTCACGATGCCAATAATGGGAGAAAATATATATGGAGTGGGGTGGGAGGGTGATAAAGAAGGTATATAGGATCTGCATATTTTTTCTGTAAACATAAAATTGCTCTAAACAGCCAAGTCTATTTTAAAAGTATCTTTTTTACATGGGAGAATATCGATTTACTTTTTATTTCCTGTATATGTTTGCATTTTAGTAATACTCTATGTGTATTTACTTATTTTATTTTTTTAAAGACTTATTTAGTCATGCATACAAAAACTGGGACAGGCCAGAGGTGAAAGGATTCACCAGAGGCAGAGTGGGGAACAAAAAGATTGACCAAAATACACTGCTGTGTGGAGCAGTGGGTGAGACCAGAGAGGTCTTCTGTGCCATGTGGGTCCCCTCCCTGGCCAAGGGTCAAACTCATGCTGCAGTGGCTGCAGATAGCTTCATCATGCTGTGCTTTAACCACTTGCATGTATTTATTTTATAATAGAAAATGGAGTATGTAAATGAAACACATGTAACTATTCAGTTTTCTGAACACTGCCTAGATTCTCTAAATTGAAGTTACAAAAAATTGCTGTGTACTAATAAGTCTACTAAGATTATCAAATGATGAACTGAGGCACACTAACATTTTCAAGAGTTTATGAGGAAAAATAATTCAAATCAGACAGTACCAAACTGAAAGTGGCTAAGAGTGCTCTGGCAATTGAAGGGAAAGGAATTTACAGCAAAATGCAGCAGCAAAGCAAATAAATAATTTGATTGCTTATAGCTTAAGTGTCTGCCCTATAGGGAAAAGTCAAGTTGGCAGCTTGTGATTGTTCAAGATTTTGTTCTCTGGGACCTGAGTGCATTTACAGGAATTGACTCTGGCTTAGGCATGGATTGCTTATGTAGACTATCAAGGCAGTAAAGTAACGTTAGTCTAGAAACTTCTTTGCTATTTACTTTAACAATTTCCTGTTTTGGTCATTTAGAAGAGGTTGACCAAAATTTTGGTATTAGTACCACAGTAGTCACCATCAGGGTTAAGTTCTTAATTCAGTGTGAAATGCACAGTAAGTTATGATGTCGGGTTCTTTGCTGTTTACCTCTGCTCATCTTGCTTATGTTTCTCCAAATGAGATCAAGGGGATGTAGTGATGAGTATCAGAAAGATTATATCAAGAGACTAATGTAAACTCCTTAGATAAAGTCCAGTGAACCAAACTAAATATATCAAAGAATGTACCTAAAGAGACTTTAACCTGTGTTGCTGAGTGGCTTCTTGGTAATATCTTGTACTTTAGTTTTTACAATATCAGAGGTCTTGCTCTAGGTACAGGAGAAGGTACTTGCTATGACACAGTCTCTTTGTTGAGTCACCAAGTAACCTAGAACAATTCTGTTTCTAAAACCAACTTATAAGGTCAAAATCACCATTATGCCAAAGAGCATATTTTAGGGTGGCATATTCTGCATATTGAGCTTATTTTATTTTCTCACCTAGATTTTTCATTTCAGTCTGTAGTTATTTTTAGTAAAAAATACATAACATTTATGAAATTAATACCACCAAGCATGATACCAGTTTAAATTTCTTGCGTTTTTCTTTAATTATTATAATAATTCAATATGGAAAAATTAGCATCACTCTTTTTGTGAAAAGCTAAGTAGACTTACATAGATTCTAGTGACTACATAGCTAATAAAAGAGCCAAAATGATAATTCAAATCTAATTTATTTCAAAAGAATTTATTTACCAGCCTATTACACTGTAATGGATAACCAATCTTGAAGATATGTGATAGGCGTTTGTTCTCATTTTTCTTTTACATTTTGAAAGGACACGTTTATTAGGAAAAGATGAAACTAAGAAGAGGCACCTGCATAGTCATATGTGGGAAAGAGAGCTGCTCTGGTTACCAGTGTAGACAAACATACAAAGTATTAGTTTCATAGATAAGTGAGAAGTGTCTCACTATGTCACTTTCTTTCCTCCAGTTTAATTTCATAATCACCCACTCTCTTACTCAGTTTCTCCACTCAGGACTCAGGGACACATATTAATTTGTTTCTAAGGGAAAAAAAATCACACCATTTTCCTGGTAATAAAAGAGGCATCAAGGACTATAAAAAATTAAATGGGCAATGCCAGTCATCAGTGTTCAAACTCATTAATTCTGGAATGGGTGATACTTGTAAGTAAATCCTGTGATGTGTAGGAGTTCACCTCTATTTTACTCCTTCCTCCAATCCATCTACTCCCCTCCATCTATCTCACTCCATGAGAGTGAGACTGAAACTGAAATCTAGGGCTTGAGATTCTGGAACTGAGGTTTCAGATATTTTGCTGACTTGGAAGCTCAAGACACAAAACCAGATTCTGTACCAATACTTAAGTAGAGACCTCCCAACAAACAAACCCTACTGTAGCACTTTCCAGATGAGGATTGTACTATAGTAAATGCATTTCTTGTAGATGCTCTTCTTGAAGATGCAGATTAAGGTCAATTTTAATGAACCTAGATCTTTTTACTAATTAAAGAGCATATAAGAAACACTGAACATTTAGATGTCTTAGGACAGAAGGATCATATACATTTCTTGGACCCCATGAAGAACTGACTCATCACTAAATACCACCTAAGACACATCAAAGAGTTTATTATATTCAGAAAAATCATAAACCCTTGAAAAAAACCCAAATCCATAAATATATAAGTGATGGCACCATGGAACATTCCAAAGGTTCCATAGCAGAGAAGTGATCCTATGGTTCTACTTTAATGATAATAATAACATATTAGGAAATAGAGGAAAAACAAACACGATGGGACAATAGACAAGGCAATTAGTATATGTTAGACTTTGGAGAGATCAGGAAGACATCACCAGTCTTAAAGGAGTTACAAGTCTGGAAAATGATGAAAAATTCTTGTCTTCACTGATGTGAAAAATTGCAGTATTGCTGGGTTGATAGAGTTGTGAAAGCAGAATTTTCTTTACCCATCTTCTCTCTAGAAAATCCATTACCTATGGAGGACACACACAATCACCAAAGAGTTTAAATTGAAAATATTAGTTCTTTCTTTCATATTCCTTTTTCTTCTCTGTTAATCCTCTGACGTAGGAAAAAAATCTCCTAATATTAATCCGATCTCTAGTTAATACATCTCAACATGTACCACTATGCCTTGCTCTCCAAGTGAGCATGAATGAGAAAATGATGTTTTATCGCCTCTTAGAACTTTTGATGCCACTTTTCAGGTGAGGGATGCATAAACAGGGGTTGCCTCTAAGAGATTTCCATTTCATAGTGAATATATACTAATCCCAACATAGCCAAGTTTTGAGAACTTTTGAACCAAAGGTATGCCTCAGGAAATGAAAGCCATCAAGCTGACTTCCCTAGATCACTGACACAGCATTCAAAAGTGAAACAATAGCCTTAGGTAGTGGGATAATTTTCAAGACACAAGGTGTGGTCTAGGTACACAGGTATGGAAAGGGATGAAGGACCATGGAGTTTTGGGTTACCACATCATGTCAATGAAAATAAATTAAGAGACTTGATTGTCCTCTTTTTCTCTTAAATGCATCATATGTCTTTGTTCCAAACTCTGTTTCCTTCCCTGGGATGTGTCTTCCTCTGAGTACTTCCAACCCACCTGCAGGCACCTCACAGAGGTCCGCGGCGTTCAGCAGCATTGCCTCTGCGCACACCCTTGATGATGAGGATGGTTCCGACGATGATGCCCACCAGACCCACGAACAGGCCCAGGGCGCACACCACGCTCTCTTTTGTCTCTGAGTGGGGGGTTGGCAGATCAAATTCTGGTGAAAAATAAAACAGTAATCCATGTGTTGGAGAGTGGAACTTATACAGGGTACTTAGTTAAAGGAATAGTTATTAATCAGTTAAAGAAGAGGAAGACATAATGATGGATTAAGGGAGTTACAGATTAGAACATGGGAGAAGCTGAGTAATGGGAAAAGATAAGGAATGAGAATTGCAGGATCTGTTATGGAGTCCAGGGGGCTCTGGACTCCTAAGGACCTGAGACATGCACTGCAGGAGGAAACCACAGAGTCAGTAGATTGAGAATGGTTCATACCCCAGTGCTTAAGAAGAGGTTCTTCCAAACCCCAGTGATCCACCTTGCAGTCATAGAAATCCTCATTTGAGGGGATGAAGGGGAGATAGTGGAACTTGCGGAATAATTGGTCCCTCCTGGGCAGGGAGACTGTCTCTGACACTCCTGTGGTGACAGGTTTTCCATTCTGAAGCCATGTGACATTGATGACTGGTGGGGAGAACTTGTCGATGAAACAGATGAGGATGTTGGGCTCACCTAGTTCCACAGGTTTTTCCGAGATTACAGTCACCTCTGGTGGTACTGGGAGACAGACATGTGACAGGAATTAGCTTTCCCTGTGTGGGGCCACCACTCTCCTTCCTACTAAAGCTGTCAAAAGAGCAGTTGATAGTATGTCTTGAGAATCTATGTCACAGTCTCAGATACCTCTGTCTATACCTGCCACATGCCTTCACTTCCCACAAACTGGTAACATATAAAGGTGTGAAATATCCAAGAACCAAATTCCTAGCTCTTCCACAGGATATATTCAAAACAATGACTTTGGGTGACTGGTTAGCATAGACAAGAGTACATCAGGAAGAGAACAGGCACATGAATTTCTTTTGACCTGTGGCATGAAAATTTGGGGCTGCCTTTGGCAAAGTTAATTCCCAGTGAAGGAAAGCCAAACACAGTCGTTTCATAAGGAAGTGAAGCACTATGGAGTACAATGCCATGCCTAGGAGTGCATGAAATGGAAAGTTGGTCACAATAATATAACAGAGCTACAGCATCTATTTAAAGCTACAATTCTATGCCTGTGAGTGCAGCAGAGAGAGGTACCATTGGTGTTCCGGGTATAGTTGCTGCGCTTCATCAGT